GGCCGGGGGGGAGCTGTGCACCTCCGGTTTGGGGTGCACCTGCCTGGGGGGGACCGTCCTTGAGGGCGGCGTCTGCCCGGGGGTGACACCCCCCCCTCGGGGCGGGCCCTTCTGCTGGGGCGCCCCGCGTGCGTTGGATGTTCCTTGGGGTGCGCCTGCCTGGGAGGGACACCCCCCCCCTTGGGTGACACTGTCCTGGGGGTGCACACAGCCTCTTTGGGGTGACACCACCCTTAGGGTACGCTTTACTTGGGGTGCACCCGTTTGACGGGGACACCCTTCTTGGGGTGCGCCCTCCTTATGGTGCAGTGGCTTGGGATGGCACCTGTCGGAGGGCGCATCCGTCAGCTGGTGGCACCCACCTTGGGGTGACACCTGCCTGGGGGGGGGCAGCTGCCCGTGAGTGACACCTTGGGATGCAGCCTGCTTGCAGTGCACCCTACTGGGGTTGAACCCCCCTTGTCATGCACCTTCTTTGGGGTGCACCTGCTCACAGGTGGTACCCTCCTCCGAGTGACACCCGCTTGCAGTGACACCGTCTTTGGGGTGCACCCCCCATATGGCACACCTTCCTAGGGCTGAGCCCTCCTTTTGGTGACATTGTACTTGGGGTGGCACCGGCCAGGGAAGTTGCGTTCAGCCTGTAGAGCACCTCTCCACAAGAGGGATGAGCTGTGGGGTGGGAAGCAGGGCCCCACATGCACCCCCTGAGGCCCAGCTCTCCCTTGAGCTGGGAGCCGAGGGGTGGGCAGGTGGAAGAGATTGATGGTAATGAAATAACATGTGCAGGTGGGGCTGGGAGGGGTGGGGAGTTGTGTTGGGGTAGTGGCTTTCAGGGGAAGGAAGTATTATGGAGAAGAAAAGGGTGGTTGTGGGGTGGATGGTGGGTGTCAGGACCTGCCTGGCTGGGTGGTGTCATGCCCCGGGTCCTGCATGCTGAGAAAGGGAGATGGCACTTAGAGATGTCTCCTTGTTGCCCCGCACCCTGGTCTAGGAGACGTGAAGACCCACTGGGTGTAAGTAAAGTCATGAGTGGTTGGGACGGGCTGAACTGGGGGTGATGGTGGCGCTGCCCCCACTGCATTGGGGGGAGATGGTAGATGAGCAGTTCTCACTTGGCAAAGCAGCCACAGGAGCCTTCTTGTGGGTCAGTAGCTGTGTTAATACAGGGAAGGAAACATCAATAACATCAGCAGTCAGTGCAGCCAGCTGAAACCATCTCTGAATCTTGGCAGTGCTGTCAGCTGCTGTTTCTCATGAGCTAGCAACTCATCCTAATGACACCATTATCCTTTCCTGAGCATTTCAGCCCTGGGACAGCCTGCAGTCGGATAGGATGATGTTGTATATTAAATAATAACACAGCTGCTCTAAGTGGGCTGCTCCTTGCTAGAACTTGTCATTAGAAATGTTCTTTGGGGGAAAGAAAACCCTATTCTGAAGGAAACACCCATTTAGCAATCGCAACTCTTTCCCATGATGAAGCGTTCCCCTTTTACTCATTGAAAAGACAACTGCAACCCAAAAAAAGAAAGCCCTTGCCATGCTGCACAGTAACTGAGGCTGGCAAGCAGTTGATGGAGGTGTGTTTGCTGTAAGGAGGTCTCCTGGCTTTGCAGTCCCGTGGCCTCAGCTGCCTCTTGCCTGGATGACTGTGAATGCTGCCCTGGGACCTCTGCGTCTCCGGAGCAGAGTTCAGGCAAAGCAGGAGCTGTTCCCCAGCTCAGAGGGCTGTGCTAGGGGAAGGGGTTTGGGTTTTGTGCAGAGGCTCAGATCCATTTCTCTTTCAAGCAATCACTCAATGAACAATTCTGGCCAAAAATCCGAAAGGTTTTCCAGGGAAAGCAGGATGTTCTCCGTTATCTCCTCAACAGGATGTGAATTTTGGACTGCATGAATAGTTCACATTAAAAAAGCCATGCATGCTCATCCTAAGTAGTATGGTTGAACAGTGAAATTGGTATAGCTTATTTGAAGAGTAGTCCTGCCACATTTTAATAGTGTTAATTCTGATCTCTCCATTTCTTTTTCAGCTACATGAAGTAGCAGAAGCCAGTCACAAATGCAATCCGTGCTCTGAAGTAGTAAAGAGCTATTTGGAAAGCTGGAAAAGGAGTGTGTATAAACCAAAGATACCTGATAAAATAATCACCAGGCTATGCAACTGTACTATCATAAATAATAAAATGACAACTTGATTCAACAAATCCAATAATATAAATAACTAAAATAACAAGCTCAGGGTAGAAACAAGAAGGTTGCTGCAATACAAAACTGTGTGTAGCATAATGAAACCGTATCTGTTCAATCAGAACAATACTACATGAAGGCATAAGAGAAACAGTATTTTAAAATAGTAAACTTGAGATAAGATAGTAATAATGCTATCTCCTGGAATGCCTGAGAAAACCCTGTCTCCTTCAGGCAGCTGCAAAATTGTCAGTCCATGCAAGTCTTTACCTTGCAAGTTCTCAGCGGCTCTCTTCTGTCTTTGCTCACAAAAGCACGCAGGGTTTGTTTGATCTCCGCTTCCAGTCTTGGCAAGCCCTGACTCTGCCTGAATGAAGCACCACAACAAAAGGGTGAGATCTCAAATGGTATTTTTTCAATAGCTAAACAAATATGTTTAGCAGGAGCTGCTATGTGTAGATGTACTATTTTGCCGTATTGCTTGTTTCCTAAAAGTTGGGAACCAAATCTCAGAGCAAGCTGATGCATCATGAGTGTTTCCACAGCCTGTTATACACATGGAAGCTGTTTACTAGAAATACTGAATTAATATTAATCAGGTTTTTAGTTTACAGGATATATTTGGGGGGGCTTAAGGCTTACAGGAGACTATAGAAAAACCCTTGTGACCCGGTGGGTGAGCCCCTTCCACCCCCCTCAGTGTTAGTGAGAGCTGAGAGCAGTTGTTGTGCAGAGCCGGGTGTGCTCCTGGAAAGCAGTGCCAGGGCTCAGGCTTGAGGATATTTGCTTAATTTTCCTCTGGCTTCTAAACACATTCATGTGTGCGTTCATATGTGTACATGTATCTATATTATACACGTCTCATTTGCACACAGGGAAAGGGAGCTGTGCTCCTAGGCAGGAGCTGAAGGGTCTTGAGTAGAATGCTGGGTGGGGAGGTGTTGCTAGGAGATGGAGACTCCAGTGTCTGGCAAAGTGGCGTTTTTATTTTTGGTGTAGATCACACAAAATGGTATTTGACTGTGAAGCAGGGCAGAAATCTCTTCCTTCTGCTTACGTTCATCTCTGAATGATCAGTCTGTGCCTAGTAGCATAGCAGCTTATTTAAAACGGAAATCAAATGTAGACTGGGTGCTGTTCAGTCCAGCTGGAGGCTGGGTGGTTTGCAATCTTCAAGGCTTTTTTTTTCCCTTTTTTTCTTCTTTTTTCCTACACATTGAGAAATCCCTTGTTTGAGCAGCAGGATATATGTCTCTGTTTAGGGGAGGGCATCCTTGCATGGCTTTGGTTCCTTTGTAGCCAGTTGTCTCTGCTTTTTCAGTCACTGTGTGTTAGCAGTCATTTTTTCTGGGTTTGGACTTACTAAATACATCCCGCCACCCTGTTGCATCCCATTGCCAGCTGTGAGTCGGATCCCCCCATCTGAGCTGGCTGCACCTCCATCCTCTCACAGACAGGGACCACGGGGAAAACTGCCGTGGGGTGCTCAGCCCTTCACTTTGGGCACTCAACTCTCCCCGGTGTGCTATCAGGGATGGATTTACAGTGGAAATTAGGTCTGAATGCTGAAACGTAGAGGTTTTTTGCACCTCTTGCAGGGTGCCAGAGTCCTGGACAGAAACATGGGTGCCCCTTGCAGCTCTTGCAGAGGCTCGTGCCACGCACTCATATTCTGATGATGCCCCTCTTGGGGCCCAAACTCCCTTCACTCAATATGCAAGAGGCTTTTTTGGCAATG